CACCATCCGCCACCACCACCATCACCACCACCGCCACCACCCATCACTACCACCACCACCACCACCACCATCACCACCACCACCACCACCACTCACTATATCTAATGCATAATGTGGCTATCCTATCGTATGTTAAATTGGTTGAGCCGCAGATCTATGCATTTCGGTGACTGTAGCCTCATGGTCGATATCTGCAGCAGTTGTCGGAATTGGGATAGAAGCTCTCGTTCCCGAGGGCAGAGCAAAACCGACCGAAGGAGAGAGAGAAAGACAGTCGACATCTCATCCAGGCTGTAACATAGCACAGGCTGCTGCTTTGTTCCGAGGAGATCACCTCCGCGAGTCTGGCCATTAGAAACACATCTTGCACACTTGGTCCCATCCCACAGAGGTTGTGAACACTAGAGTGAAGCTGCCTTGATCAACGTTTTGAGATTCTCTCCCTATATGCCCTTATTTTGTCGTTCTCGTTCCTCCTATGTGCAGCATCGAGAGCTAGGTTGTTGACATCAGGCCATGGGATAAAAATCCTGATGTCGAAAGAAACTCAGCGTCCCGCGTCCAGAATCCTCGAGCACTGACGTCAACACAGGCTTCGTTAGATGTGTTTGAAGTCCTATGTTGGAAGATCTCACCATCAATGGAAGGAGGGTCAGTTTACTACATGACATCCCAGCAGATTTCCTTCAACATATTTGCTGTAGGTCCTTGCTTCGTCATTACCCCTCCATTATATGAAGCCCCCTTTCTTTACACACCATGGCGTGATCCTTGCGTCATAGTAAAGAGCCACACACTCATTTAGGGCAAACCTTCTACTACAGCCGTGCGATGCGTTAGAAACAATGGCATCTGTAAAATTCTTGTTTGTTAAGACTGAAACCATTTGCCCTTATCGGTAACGTAGTTAACCAGTTCAGTGCTTACCTCCTGCGCTATAGCTACTTTTTAATTTTTCTGGGAACCTGCAGCAGCGTTGCTGCAACTTATCATTTGGCAGTGCTGTCGATCTGTCGTAATGGACCTACAATCTCATTTACTTCAGTGGTATCAAACTCCCCTGTTGCGTTCTGGGCTATTATGTGGTCAGTGAGGGGCTGCGTGAGCTTAAGTGAATTTTGATGTTAGGTGGCTGCAATCTCACTCTGGATTGGTTAGTCCCATCCCTCCCAGTCTTGATGGAAGTGCAAGAGATTGCTCTTTCTACTGGGGTTAAGTGAGTGTATTTCACTAATTTGGGAATGAACTTGACACTGATAGCTTCTTCCAGAGAGGTGGAGGTCCGATAACAGGGATAGTACGCATCAGGTAGTTCCAACGATAGTGAATGCAGCAAGGCCGCATGTGGCTCTTATTGATTTTGCAATCTCAGACGAACTTAGTTCACTAACCCCACTCATTCCTTTTCCTTTCACGTGCTTTCGGTCTTGGAAGTCCGTAGAGGCCAATTACTCGCCTAGATGTCTTTGGCCGTCCTTGTTATTTTGACCTCACTTCCATAAAACCTCCTTTGCCCGTTCATAATGTTCTGGCTTCACGATGAGGGAAGGACTTGCTGGCGTTTGGGTGGTACCCTATTTAATGGACCTCGCATTACCAAGTCCCACACTTTTGATGCCCTCCACTTGCTCCTGTAAGGTCATCCAGCATATGCCACTTGTTTTGACCCAGTTGTTTCCAAATTTTATTTCTTGTTGGGCACTTTGATGGCCAATTGCATGTTTGCCATTTGCAGCAGGGTCCTGTGTTGAATTTTTCCCTCGGTTGACTGTAGATGATATCACTATCACTTAGGGGCCTTGTTGTTTTACTATATAAAAAGTTGATGGATTCCTATATAGGGTTTCAACGTACATTTGCAAAGCTTGGACACTTGATCTTGATAATTTGGCTGCAGTGCGGCGCGGTTAAGTATGTTGAATGCGTTTGAAGCGTCGACCAGGGAAGCGGCCTCCACAAATCACACGTTGCTCAAAATATCGTTCTCATGGTGAATGGCGGCTCCCTCCAGCTTGTTGGCCGGCACAGGCTTACAGGTTCCCTGCTGCTGCCCTGACATCGTCCTTTTACCTCATTATGCATTTTCCGATGATTCGCCTCAGCACTTCCCACTTCTATTGGCCACCACATCCTGGATTCTTATCAGGGGAATGAGCGGCAGGCCGTCAGGCATGAAGGTGATGGCAGCATGGGGATGCCAGCTTTTCTTTGCAAAGGGACGGCAATGTATCGAAGAGATCACTTGCTGCGGGGCCAAACGTGGGCTTATTCGGACCGGTGCGACGCCTGGTGTTTCGGGTGCCTTTTTACACACCATCCCACTCTGATATTTTCTCGAACAGGACGGCATTTGGTGGGATATAGGCACCTGACAGTGCCTTCGTCATCGCACAGAGGGATGTTTTCTTTCAGTTGTTTTAATGTCTCATTTGTGTGAAGAACCCACTGTGGTGGATTCCTCTGTGAGAGATCTTACCGCCAACTTACTTTTCCCACACGTTTGTTCCCAGAACTTCCTTGCAGCATCATCGGTGTTTTGCTTTTCCGTCTCCTGCAGATTTTAGTCTCTCCTGCAGTGTTCTTGCTTCACATAGGAGATCATCAAGGGGCCTCCTTCTGCCCACAGTGTCAGTCTTCTTCATTTGCTGCCGCATTTTCTTGTTCTTGTCTTTGTGAGTGTCCTCCTGACAGAGGAATAGATGTGGTATTATTGCCAGTATGTGGCAGAAGGCTAACCCAGGCAAGGGAGGCGGTCTTGAGGTGTACTCAGTTATGGGAATCATCTCCCGAATCATTTCTTTGGTGGCCGCACTTGGGTGGTTCAAACAGGTTTGCTGGCGACCACCTGACAATTTCTGAGGTAAGTTTTTGACCCATATGTCCGCATTTTCCATCGACATGCCATTCCACTGTGGTGGCTGTCTCTCCATTCACCTCGTGGACATCCAGCTACTATTGGAGCAGCGTTTGTTGGTACTACATTTTCAGGTTGGGTAAGACTCACTGCTATCGTTTTAGGATATCAACTTGAATTACTGGGTCCCAGCGATATCAATGTGGCCCTGTGACAGCTCCCTGCCATGAGGTTATAAGGGTTTGCGGCAATTGTTTCCCTTTATGCAGGACACACATGGTCGGTTGTTTCTCCACACAAACACAGCTAGTGCATTTTTTTTGGTACTGGATTTGGAACAGACACAACAATGTCTGTCACCCGGCATAATGATCTGCGCAGCGGGCGACAGTTACGTCCGCCTCCGAACATCTGATTTAGTCCCAGGCACAAGATTATACTGGGTTTGCGCGGGGAAGGGCGGAGAGGTGACCCAGAGAAGCTGGACACTGTGTCAGGTAGTAAGGGGCATACGTGCGCGCGTGAGTGTGTAGGCTTCACCTAATAGCGACCATCCATACATCAGAATGATACACTATGGACAAGAGTTTGTCACACCAAGCACTTGTTTATATATCGCTAACGATACCACTATTTATATGGTCTCACCGGTGTAATATCACTACCATCACCACCACCACCACTACTACCACCACCACCACCACCACCACCACCACCACCACTACTGCGCTAATAACTTATTGAACTTAGACAATCACCAGAGGGAGGCATGAGAGAGTAATGATTGTCTGTCTGTCTGTCTGTCTGTCTGTCTGTCTGTCTGTCTGTCTGTCTGTCTGTAAGGCTTCTCTATCTGCATTAATTAGTAACATGTTTATAATTGGTAGTTTGTGTGTGTGTGGGATAATAATATTTATTTTTTTAGACATATTTTAGAGTTATGTGTTGGGTGTATTTTGTCTGATAGTTTGTTTGTTGAATATAGATCGATAGACAGACAGACAGACAGACAGACAGAATTTTCACTATTTCCACCACTAAAAAAACACCCATTTCAATATTTTGATCAATAAAAACCATATTTTTTTAAAGCCTGTATAATAAGTCTGTGATGGAGACAGTTGACAGACACACACAGACAGAGGCGATTGACAGATAGACAGACAGATAGAGACGATTGACAGATAGACAGACAGATAGAGACGATTGACAGATAGACAGACAGATAGAGACGATTGAGAGATAGACAGACAGATAGAAACGATTGACAGACACAGACAGATAGAGACGATTGATGATAGACAGACAGATAGAGACGATTGACAGACAGACAGACAAATAGAGACGATTGACAGACACAGACAGATAGAGACGCTTGACAGACACAGATAAAAACGATTGACAGACAGACACACAAATAGAGACGATTGACAGACACAGACAGGCACAGACGATTGAGAGATACTGGTTAAGGCCTACTAACAGACAGAAACAGAATAAGGCAATTAGCAGACAGACAGACAGACAGACGAGGAGTTACTGTAGGAAAGGTGCTGGAGAAAGTTGAAGGCTGTGTTTACATTCACCTTGTTTGTGTAACCTGACTTAACGACAACTTGGATCAGTGTTAAAGTTCACGCGTGTGTGTGTGTGTGTGTGTGTATATATGTGTGTATAGGGTGTGTGTGTGTGGGTATATCTGTGTGTGTGTAGATTGTGCGTCTGTGTTTATGTATGTATTTGGGAGAGAGAGAGACGGAGACAGCGAGAGAAATGAGACAGAAAAGAGAAAGAGAGGGGGAGGGGGGGGGACAGGTGAGAAGGATTAGTCTACATTTTAACTCCTCAATAAGTACACCTGTCAACACCTGAGGCCCATTACTCTATGACTCAGTACAGTAATTCACCTCATGTTATTATGAATATGTATACACAGTGATACTCGAGTATATTTTGTAATTATTATCATGTATATTTTTCTTATCTATACATAACTAGTATTGATATGTTTTAATGTGTATAATAGTGTATTATTATTACTATATGTTGAGATGAGACTTGAGGTTAATCTGAGTATTATGTGATGTTAATGTATACCCACCATACATATACCTGATCAGTGTATAATACATAACTGTCTCTCCTCCCCAGATGGAAGAGGATGTCGTCATATATCGGCAGAATAAACAAGAGCTTCAGGCTGGGTATAGAGGTGATGCTGGGCAACCACAAGCCAAACATGTGGCTATTGACAACATAAGACTGGTCGACTGTTTTAGTGAGTGTCCTCGTTAACTGGTGCCCTCCTCTCTCTCTCTCTCTCTCTCTCTCTTTCTCACTCTCACACACACACATGACCCGGAAGTAACTGCCAGATATAACCAAGTGTTCAGGTAATTTGTGTCACATTAATTCCCATCTGGCGACAACCTTAACATAGGTCTAAAAGATCTTCCTCCCCCTTCAGTTATCACATCACCTGGAGTATATTGAATGTCTTACCTGGTTACCATAGACCTTTGTAATGATTATAATGCATCTTACTCATGATATCTCCAACAGGTATCACATCATAGCCTTAAACCCATGATATGACCTCTGACCCCATGATATGACCTCTGACATCATGATATGACCTCTGACATCATGATATGACCTCTGACCCCATGATATGACCTCTGACCCCATGATATGACCTCTGACCCCATGATATGACCTCTGACATCAGATATGACCTCTGACCCCATGATGTACCTTCCCAATACAGAGCTTCACAATCTCACCATCCCACACCTGAGAATCGTACAACCTCCTACAATCTCAGAATAATCCCACAACTCCTCAATCCCACGACCACCCCAACCCGACCACCCAACCCCACGACCACCCAACCCCACGACCACCCAACCCCACGACCACCCAACACCACGACCACACAACACCACGACCACCCAAACCCACGACCACCCAACCCCACGACCAATCCCACGACCACCCAATCCCAGACCACCCAACCCCACGACCACCCAACCCCACGACCACCCAACCCCACGACCACCCAACCCCACGACCACCCAACACCACGACCACCCAACCCACGACCACCAACCCCACGACCACCCAACCCCACGACCACCAACCCCACGACCACCCAACCCCACGACCACCAACCCCACGACCACCCAAACCCCACGACCACCCAACCCCACGACCACCAACTCCACGACCACCCAACCCAACGACCACCCAACCCACGACCACCCAACTCCACGACCACCCAACCCCACGACCACCAACCCACGACCACCCAACCCACGACCACCCAACCTCCACGACCACCCAACCCCACGACCACCCAACTCCACGACCACCGAACCCCACGACCACCCAACCCCACGACCACCCAACCCCACGACCACCCAACCCCACGACCCTCCAATCCCACGACCACCCAACCCCACGACCACCCAACCCACGACCACCCAACCCACGACCACCCAACCCCACGACCACCCAACCCCACGACCACCCAACACCACGACCACCCAACACCCCACCAACCCACGACCACCCAACCCCACGACCACCCAACCCCACGACCACCCAACCCCACGACCACCCAACACCACGACCACTCAACCCCACGACCACCCAACCCCACGACCACCCAACCCCATGACCACCCATTCCCACGACCGCCAATCCCACGACCACCCAATCCCAGACCACTCAACCCCACGACCACCCAACCCACGACCACCCAACCCACGACCACCCAACCCCACGACCAATCAACCCACGACCACCCAACTCCACGACCACCCAACCCCACGACCACCCAACCCACGACCACCCAACCCACGACCACCAACCCACGACCACCAACCCCACGACACCCAACCCCACGACCACCGAACCCCACGACCACCCAACCCACGACCACCCAACCCCACGACCACCCAACCCCACACCCTCCAATCCCACGACCACCCAACCCCACGACCACCCAACCCCACGACCACCCAACCCACGACCACCCAACCCCACGACCACCAACCCCACGACCACCCAACACCACGACCACCCAACACCACGACCACCCAACCCACGACCACCCAACCCCGACCACCCAACCCCACGACCACCCAACCCCACGACCACCCAACACCACGACCACTCAACCCCACGACCACCCAACCCCACGACCACCAACCCCACCCACCCATTCCCACGACCGCCAATCCCACGACCACCCAATCCCACGACCACTCAACCCCACGACACCCAACCCCACGACCACCCAACCCCACGACCACCCATTCCCACGACCGCCAATCCCACGACCACCCAATCCCACGACCACCCAATCCACGGACCACCCAACCCCACGACCACAACCCCACGACCACCCAACCCCACGACCACCCAACCCCACGACCTCCAATCCCACGACCCCCAATCCCACGACCCATCCCACGATCAACTGCCCCACGACCAATCACCCCACGACCACCCAACCCCACGACCCCCAACCCCACGACCACCCAACCCCACGACCACCCAACCCCACGACCACCCAACCCCACGACCCCCACCGACCTACAGCTCATAACTCACTCATCACAAATAAACACAACTAATTGGTTTGTTTTGATCTCAACAGACCACAACCCCGGCCCGTTGGAGGTGTGTCAAGGCATACGGTGTGGCACGGGCGAGTGTGTGAGGCGTAATAACATTTGTGACATAACCAAGAACTGTCCGGGAGGCGAGGACGAGTCCACATGTGGTGAGTATGTTTGTTCTCGCTGTGTTGTTCTCGATATATGTTGCATGTTGTTCTCGCTGTGTTGTATGTGTGTTGTTATTATGTTGTATGTTCAGCTTATTTTCTTGTATATTGTCCTCGCTGTATTGTTGTATATTGTATGATAATAATAATGAAGTACCACTGACCTCCTCATCTCACTCCCCGGCAGCCCTGGAACCTGAAGGGTCTAGGTGACTTCGAGAGCGACTGGTGCGGCTGGAAGAACGCCGGTGACGATCATATGGACTTCCACAGGCATCACGGCAACACTCAGAAGGAACGTACGGGCCCTCCAACGACCATACCTATAAGAATGACTCTGGTAAGTCTCTCTCTCAAGGATGATGGCTTACCCAGCACGCTGGTTTAACCTCAAACGAAAGATGACTTAACCTCTTAACGATGTTAATTTAAACCTTAATCCTTGAAAAGTTAATACCATTGAAGATGTATTTCTGTGTTAATTGTCAAATCAGAGTAAACACTAATCACTTAACCTAACTTAATCAAACATGACCTACTCTGACTTCTCTTACCCTGCAGGCTACTACCTCCTGAGTGAGCTTCCCCAGACGGGCAAGATGGGGACTCGGTGTCTTGAGTCCCCATTTTGACCCTCCCCTGTTACCATGGCAACAAGGACTCCCTTCTTCGAGAGCTGCAAATGTATCTCACATGAGTTGTTGTGTGGTGGTGTTGTTGTTACCTAGAATCTGCCCTACACGCCTGGGACCCACACACCTGGGTCTAATTATCTCACGTTCATTAAATTATTTTCTCCAAGTGTGTGTGTGTGTGTGTGTGTGTGTGTGTGTGTGTGTGTGTGTGTTGTAAAATAATAATAATAAAACGGTTTATTATAGAGCTGCTGGTGGCTGAAAATATACAAACTTACATGTGATTTAGACATAATAATATACATTCAATACATTTACAGGGCTGTACAGTACATAAATCAGAGTTGTTTATTAATTTAACAATAGATGGGATGGTGTTAGTTTTTATATATATAATATATATATATATATATATATATATATATATATATATATATATATATATATATATATATATATATATATATACATATATATATATATATATATATATATATATATATATATATATATATATATATATATATATATTATATCAGTGAAAGACTGTGCTTTCAGTCGGTGAGTACAGACTAGTCTGTACTCACCCTGAAGATGTTAAATCACAATGGTGCTGCTTAGAACCCTGTGTTTCCTTCCTGTACATCAGCATATCCCAGACGCACCTACAGTGATTTATATATATATATATATATATATATATATATATATATATATATATGTGTGTGTGTGTGTGTGTGTGTTACAACACCCTTAACGTCTGTGTGTGTGTGTGTGTGTGTGTTACAACACCCCTAACGGTGTGTGTGTGTGTGTGTGTGTGTGTGTGTGTGTGTGTGTGTGTGTGTGTGTGTGTGTGTGTTACAACACCCTTAACGTCTGTGTGTGTGTGTGTGTGTGTGTGTTACAACACCCCTAACGTTCTGTGTGTGTGTGTGTGTGTGTGTGTGTGTGTGTGTGTGTGTGTGTGTGTGTGTTACAACACTCTTAACGTTGGTGTGTGTGTGTATGACAGATCTGGCTGTACTACTACAAGCTGGGACGTAACCAAGGCTCCATGATCATCAAGGCGAGGAAGAGAACCCTAAGGTGAACGGCGGCCGAGTCTACCAGATCGACCAGATCACCGGCGACCAGGGCGACAAGTGGCAGCGTCTCGACCATGTCTTACCTCACGAGATACGCTACAGGTGAGGACAGTGCCGGTGAGGGACCAGACTACTAGGTGAGGGACAGTGTCAGGTGAGGGACAGTTCAGGTGAGGACCAGACTAGGTGGTAGTGAGGGACAGTGTCAGGTGAGGGGTAGTGAGGACAGTGTCAGGTGAGAGACCAGACTAGGTGAGCAGTGCCAGGTGAGGGACCAGACTAGGTGAGGGACAGTGCCAGGTGAGGACCAGACTAGGTGGACAGTGTCAGGTGAGGGACAGTGCCAGGTGAGGGACCAGACTAGGTGAGGGCAGTGTCAGGTGAGGACAGTGCCAGGTGAGGACCAGACTAGGTGAGGACAGTGCCGGGTGAGGGACAGTGTCAGGTGAGGACAGTACCAGAAAGACCGTATCAAAGGACGATGACGGAACCCCTAACCCCTTAGTACTATAACTTAACCCTTGAGTACTATAACAACCCCTTGAATACTATAACTCAACCTTAGTACTATGACTTGACCCCTTGAGTACTATAACTTAACCTTGAGTACTATAACTTAACACCTATTACTATAACAACCCCTTGAGTACTATAACTTAACACCTTGAGTACTATGGCTTAACACCTTGAGTACTATAACTTAACACCTTCAGTACTATGGTAACACCTTGAGTACTATAACCAACCTTGAGTATTATAAACCCATTTACACAGTATTATAACCAACCTTGAGTACTATAACTTAACTTGAGTACTATAACTCAACCCCTGAGTACTATAATAACCCTTGAGTACTATAGCTTAACACCTTGAGTACTATAATAACACCTTGAGTACTAACAGCCTTAAGTACTATTAACCCTTAGTACTATAACTTAACCCCTTAGTATTATAACTTAACCCTTGAGTATTATAATAACATGAGTACTATAACAACCTTGAGTATATAACTTAACCCCTGAGTACTATAACAACCTGAGTACTATAACTCAACCTGAGTACTATAACCTTGAGTACTATAACTTAACTCTTTGAGTACTATAACCTTGAGTACTATCTTAACTTGAGTACTATAACAACCTTAGTACTATAACTTAACCCCTTGAGTACTATGACTTAACCCCTTGAGTACTATAACTTAACCCATTGAGTACTATAACTTAACCCTTGAGTTAAGTTTACCTCTCGTCCACCTGACCAGTGTTTACCTCTCGTCCACCTGACCAGTGTTTACCTCTCGTCCACCTGACCAGTGTTTACCTCTCGTCCACCTGTCCAGTGTTTACCTCTCGTCCACCTGTCCAGTGTTTACCTCTCGTCCACCTGACCAGTGTTTACCTCTCGTCCACCTGACCAGTGTTTACCCTCTCGTCCACCTGTCCAGTGTTTACCCTGTCCACCTGACCAGTGTTTACCTCTCGTCCACCTGACCAGTGTTTACCTCTCGTCCACCTGACCAGTGTTTACCTCTTCCACCTGACCAGTGTTTCTGTCCACCTGACCAGTGTTTACCTCTCGTCCACCTGACCAGTGTTTACCTCTCGTCCACCTGACCAGTGTTTACCTCTCGTCCACCTGACCAGTGTTTACCTCTCGTCCACCTGACCAGTGTTTACCTCTCGTCCACCTGACCAGTGTTTACCTCTCGTCCACCTGACCAGTGTTTACCTCTCGTCCACCTGACCAGTGTTTACCCTCGTCCACTGACCAGTGTTTACCTCTCGTCCACCTGACCAGTGTTTACCTCTCGTCCACCTGACCAGTGTTTACCTCTCGTCCACCTGACCAGTGTTTACCCCTCGTCCACCTGACCAGTGTTTACCTCTCGTCCACCTGACCAGTGTTTACCTCTCGTCCACCTGACCAGTGTTTACCTCTCGTCCACCTGACCAGTGTTTACCTCTCGTCCACCTGACCAGTGTTTACCTCTCGTCCACCTGACCAGTGTTTACCTTCGTCCACCTGACCAGTGTTTACCCCTCAGTCCACCTGACCAGTGCTTTACCTCTCGGTCCACCTGACCAGTGTTTACCCCTCGTCCACCTGACCAGTGTTTACCCCTCGTCCACCTGACCAGTGTTTACCCCTCGTCCACCTGACCAGTGTTTACCTCTCGTCCACCTGACCAGTGTTTACCTCTCGTCCACCTGACCAGTGTTTACCTCTCGTCCACCTGTCCAGTGTTTACCTCTCGTCCACCTGACCAGTGTTTACCTCTCGTCTCTTCAGGTACCAGATCATCGTGGCTAACGTTAGAGGCTCCAGGTTCCGCGGCGACTTGGGTTTCGATGACTTCACGCTGTCCCCGGAGTGTTTTGGCCGAGGTGAGGAGCGTCTCTCTCTCTCTCTCTCTCTCATGTCCGTGTGTGTGTATCCGTGTGTGTGTGTGTGTGTAAAGAAAAGTCTACGGCAAAAGTCTTCCTTTCATCACTATCTCGTACTTGATCCACGAGTATTATAACTATTACTTGAAAATCACCTGTAGTGATTCTCGATAAACACCTGGACGGCACTAATCACCATGATACCTTAGCCCCGACACCTTTAATATCCATCGACGATATTTTTGGGGAGTTAATCAGTGTGTTGAGCCGCCACTATAACCTTTGTTTGCGTTCACTGAGCTGATAGGTAAATATTTGGGGTATACCTGCACGTGATTGGTCTATTAGTTAGAAGTGGGTGGGGCTTTATATACGTTAGGTCTCTTTAATGTTTTGGAAGAAGAGGGAACTAAGTGACCAAGGAAGGAAGGAAGGAAGGAAAGTCACGTAGCTTCATCACTGTTCCTTGAGACTCCTTAAGACTCCTTGTAAATCATAACAACCCCTTGAAGATCACACGGATTCTATACAGAATTGTTCTTAAGCCTCCTACAGCACCAAACCTGAGTCTTGAAGATCCAAGAACTTCAGAAATGTTCCCTGAAGATCATATGGCTTCAGAACTGATCCCTGAAGATCATATGGCTTCAGAACTGATCCCTGAAGATCATATAGCTTCAGAACTGATCCCTGAAGATCATATGGCTTCAGAACTGATCCCTGAAGATCATATAGCTTCAGAACTGATCCCTGAAGATCATATGGCTTCAGAACTGATCCCTGAAGATCATATAGCTTCAGAACTGATCCCTGAAGATCATATAGCTTCCAGAACTGATCCCTGAAGATCCAAGAACTTCAGAACTGATCCCTGAAGATCATATGGCTTCAGAACTGATCCCTGAAGATCATATAGCTTCAGAACCGATCCCTGAAGATCCAAATCCTTCAGGAACTGATCCCTGAAGATCATATGGCTTCAGAACTGATCCTGAAGATCATATGGCTTCAGAACTGGATCCCTGAAGATCATATAGTTTCAGAACTGATCCCCGAAGATCATATGGCTTCAAACTGATCCCTGAAGATCCAAGAACTTCCAGAACTGGATCCCTGAAGATCATATATGGCTTCAGAACTGATCCCTGAAGATCGTATGGTTTCAGAACTGATCCCTGAAGATCATATGGCTTCAGAACTGATCCCTGAAGATCATATGGCTTCAGAACTGATCCCTGAAGACTGGCATGGCTTCAGAACTGATCCCCGAAGATCATATGGCTCAGAACTGATCCCTGGAAGATCATATGGCTTCAGAACTGATCCCTGAAGATCATATAGCTTCAGAACTGATCCCTGATCCCTGAAGATCATATGGCTTCAGAACTGATCCCTGAAGATCATATAGCTTCAGAACTGATCCCTGAAGATCCAAGAACTTTAGAACTGATCCCTAAAGATCTAAGAACTTCAAAACTGTTCCCTAAAGATCCTTAGGCCTCAGCATGACCCTGGATAAACCATTACCACACATACCCTTTGAAGATCACAGAATATTTTTAAATGCCACCCGACGTCCTTAATAAACGACTACAGGGAGAGAGAGGTACAGAAGCGCCCTTGACTGCTTAGTACAGGAGCCTCATATATCCAGTCTGGAAAACCATTAATAATAATTCACCTTATATTGATGTACTGGATGACTGAGCCAGTGGCCTTTCAACTCTCACAGCTAACTCGGTGGTCTTCAAACGTGTAGGATAATGGGAATCAAACCTAATGGGTCCTAGTTTTAATGGACCCAAATTCTAATGGGTCCTAGTTTTAATGGACCCAAATTCTAATGGGTCTTAGTTTTAATGGACCCAAATTCTAATGGGACCTAGTTTTAATGGACCCAAATTCTAATGGGTCCTAGTTTTAATGGATCCAAATTCTAATGGGTCATAGTTTTAATGGACCCAAATTCTAATGGGTCCTAGTGTTAATGGACCCCAATTCTAATGGGTCCTAGTTTTAATGGACCCAAATTCTAATGGATCCTAGTTTTAATGGACCCAAGTTTTAATAGGTCTTACTCCTAATGGGTTCTAGTCTTAATGGGCCCAAGTTTTATTGGCCCTTAATCCGAACGAGGCCAAGTTCCGCCGGGCCCCAGTCTTAATTGGCCCAAGTCAATTATGCCCGTCACAACGTAACCATTTGAACTAGGGTTCATTGTCATTAGTGCCCATTATCATTAGAATCACCCATTATCATTACGATCACCCATTATCATTAGGACCACCCATTATCATTAGGACCACCCATTATCATTAGGACCACCCATTATTATTAGGACCACCCATTATCATTACGTGTGTATCTTAATGGTTAGGTTAGGTTAAGGACCCATTAGGTGTAGTCCCGCTTCAACAGTTAACATCTCAAGTATTTGTCCTTATCATTGACAGTGCTTGAGGATCTTGACGCAGTTCCTGAGGGGAGGAAGTTTGTGTGTGTGTGTGTGTGTGTGTGTGTGTGTGTGTGTGTGTGTGTGCTTAACGTGTTTGTATCGTTTAAATATTAGTGAATCATTGACGAATTCGTGTTTGATTTGGCTATTGTCTATTATGTATTTGTGTCAATGTTTATTTGTTCATAATACTAATTAATTATTTACTTACTCACCTGTGTCTCTCATCAGGTGTACCGCCAGATGAGGTGAAGAAATGCCCTCCCGCCAGCTTCCCGACTACACCTGGTAAGTACATGTACTATTCCTCTTGTACTCTACCACTACCGTATCATCACAAGTACAACATTGTATCTATCGTGTACAGATCATGTTCTTTTGTAGTAACTTGTATTGTACACGACTGTTAGTGATATATACAGTATAATATAGGGAATTTTTTATGTTTATGTGAAGTCGTATATTTTGTTCTTAAATTTTATGTCGATGTCAATTTTATATTATTATTATTATTTTTATTATTATTATTGTTTTTATTATTATTATCATTATTATTATTATTATTATTATTATTATTATTGTTTTTATTATATTATTATTATTACTCTCTCTCTCTCTCTCTCTCTCTCTCTCTCTCTCTCTCTCTCTCTCTCTCTCTCTCTCTCTCTCCTACTTTCTATCCCCTCTTTCTCTTCTCCCCTTCTCCTCTGTTTCCGTTTTCTTTGTCTTTTTTCCTCCTCTTCCCACTCTCTATTTCTCTTCTCCTCTCTCTCCGTCTTTCCCTGTCTCTCTCTTTCCGTCCCTCTCTTTTTTCCTCCTTCCATTCCGTTCTCCTTCTACTTTTCGTTCATCAGTTACAGTTATCATTTATCCCACCTCTTCTTCCTTTCCCTCCCTCTCTCTTCTTCCTTCCTCCTTTTCGTCATTCTTCCTCCTCTTCCCTCTCTCTCCTCTTCCCTCTCTCTCCTCTTCCCTCTCAGATTAAAATTTTTAACGTTTGAAAATAAAAACATATATTTCACCATCAAATACATAAGATATTCACAAAAATATCGACTACACTACACGTTATAACTAAGGACATTATATTATTATTATATATTATAGGTAAATACATCTTAATATACCCTATTATATTATTATTATATATTATAGGTTAATACACTTAATATACCCAATTATATTATTATTATATATTATAGGTAAATACATCTTAATATACCCTATTATATTATTATTATATATTATAGGTTAATACACTTAATATATAATATAATTCTGGTAAAGTATTTTGTAAGTAAACGTCCTGATGGTGACCACAATTACCGGGACACGCGGATCATTGGAGAAATATATGCAAATGTTATATGAATATTCTGCTGCAGTGTTCCTATATGCCAAACACACCTGATGCATTACACACCTGAAATATTACACACCTGAAGCATTACGCACCTGGAGCATTACACACCTGAAGCATTACGCACCTGATGCATTACACGCAAACGTACGCACCTGAAGCATTACTAGCTGGAACATTACATCGATGCATTACACACCTGAAATATTACACACCTGAAGCGTACGCACCTGGGCGACACACCTGAAGCCGCACCCTGATGCATTACACACCTGAAATATTACACACCTGAAGCATTACGCACCTGGAGCATTACACACCTGAAGCATTACGCACCTGATGCATTACACACCTGATGCATTACACACCTGAAATAATACACACCTGATGCATTACACACCTGAAATATTACGCACCTGATGCATTACACACCTGAAATATTACACACCTGAAGCATTGCACACCTGATGCATTACACACCTGAACCATTACACACCTGAAGCATTACACACCTGAAATATTACACACCTGGAGCATTACACAACTGAAGCATTGCACACCTGATGCATTACACACCTGAAATATTACACACCTGAAGCATTGCACACCTGATGCATTACACACCTGAAGCATTACACACCTGAAGCATCACACACCTGAAATATTACACACCTGAAGCATTACACAACTGGAACATTACACACCTGAAATATTACACACCTGAAATATTACACTCCTGAAGCATTACACACCTGGAGCATTACACATCTGAAACATTACACACCTGAAGCATTACGCACCTGAAGCATTACACACCTGGAGCATTACACACCTGAAATAGTACACACCTGGAGCATTACACATCTGAAACATTACGCACTTGAAGCATTACACACCTGAAGCATTACACAACCTGAAGCATTACACCCCTGGAACATTACACACCTGGATCATTACACACCTGGATCATTACACACCAGAAATATTACACACCTGGAGCATCACACACGTGAAATATTACACACGTGAAATATTACACACACAAACGTACACACCTGTAGCATTACACACACAAATATTACACACCTGAAATATACACACTAAAATATTACACACCTGAAGCATTACACACCTGGAGCATTACACACCTGGGCATTACACACCTGAAGCATTAAACACCTGAAATGTACACACCTGGTACACACCTGAATCACTACACACCTGAACATTACACACCTGAAAATGTACGCACCTGGAAATATTACACACCTGAAGCATTAAACACAAAACACACACACCTGAAGCATAACACACACAAATATTACACACACAAATTTTACACACCTGAAATATTAACACACACCTGTTCGTTACACACCTGGGCATTACACACCTGGGCATTACACCTGGGCATTACCACACCTGAAGCATTAAGCACTGAAATATTACACACCTGAGCATTACACCTGAATCGCTACACACCTGGAACATTACACACCTGAAATATTACGCACCTGAAATATTGCACACCTGAAGCATTACACACCTGAAGCATTACACACCTGGAACATTACACACCTGGATCATTACACACCTGGATCATTACACACCAGAAATATTACACACCTGGAGCATCACACACGTGAAATATTACACACGTGAAATATTACACACGTGAAATATTACACACCTGAAGCATAACACACCTGAAATATTGCACACCTGAAGCATAACACACCTGAAATATTACACACCTGAAATATTACGCACCTGAAATATTACACACCTGAAGTATTAAACACCTGAAATATTGCACACCTGAAGCATTACACACTTGTTAACACTTCTCTTTTCATTAACACTTGTATTCTCTTCAATAGATCGGGAATATTAATCTTGTTATACCTGTGGAAAAAAAAATATGTATGTGTTAGTCTATCTGTCTCCCCGTCCGTCTATCTGTCTGTCTGTTTAACCGTCCGTCCGCCTGTCTGTCTCCCCGTCCGTCCGTCCGTCTGTCTGTCTGTCTCCCCGTCTGTATGTTTCCCCGTCCGTCCGTATGTCTGTCTGTTTCCCTGTCTGTCTGTCTGCCTCCCCGTCCGTCCGTATGTCTGTCTGTTTCCCTGTCTGTCTGTCTGCCTCCCCGTCCGTCTATCTATATATCGATCTATCTCCCCGTCCTTCTGTGTGTGTGTGTGTGTGTGTGTGTGTGTGTGTGTGTGTGTGTGTGTGTGTGTGCGTGTGTTGAGGCTGCCCAGTAACACCGATGGACCTGAGCTTAAGATAGGATGATATACTGGGACGCGAAGTGAATCATTGTAGATGCTCTCTCACTCACTCGAGGTTAGGTTAGGTTACGTTAGGTCAGTTTAGTTCAGGTTAGGTTGAGTGAAGCTAAGTTTAGGTTAGGTTGAGTGAAGCTAGGTTTAGGTTAGGTTGAATTAAGCTAGGTTTAGGTTAGGTTGAATTAAGCTAGGTTTAGGTTCGGTTGCATTAAGCTAGGTTTAGATTAGGTTGAATTAAGCTAGGTTTAGGTTAGGTTGAATTAAGCTAGGTTTAGGTTAGGTTGAATTAAGCTAGGGTTAGGTTAGGTTGAATTAAGCTAGGTTTAGGTTAGGTTGAGTGAAGCTAGGTTTAGGTTAGGTTGAGTGAAGCTAGGTTTAGGTTAGGTTGAGTGAAGCTAGGTTTATGTTAGGTTGAATTAAGCTTGATTTAGGTTAGGTTGAATTAAGCTAGGTTTAGGTTAGGTTGAATTAAGCTAGGTTTAGGTTAGGTTGAATTAAGCTAGGTTTAGGTTAGGTTGAGTGAAGCTAGGTTCAGGTTAGGTTGAGTGAAGCTAGGTTTAGGTTAGGTTGAATTAAGCTAGGTTTAGGTTAGGTTGAATTAAGCTAGGTTTAAGTTAGGTTGCATTAAGCTAGGTTTAGGTTAGGTTGAGTGAAGCTAGGTTTAGGTTAGGTTGAATTAAGCTAGGGTTAGGTTAGGTTGAATTAAGCTAGGTTCGGTTGCATTAAGCTTGATTTTGGTTAGGTTAAATTAAGCTAGATTTAGGTTAGGTTGAGTTAAGCTAGGTTTAAGTTAGGTTGAATTAAGCTAGGTTTAGGCTAGGTTAAATAAAACTATCTCTCCCCAGTAAAACTGTACCTATAATAATTATTACTTCACCTGTGTACAGTATTTCAGGTACGTATATTATTTATCATTCATTTCTTATATTAATTTCAATATAAAATGTCTGCACCAAATTCCCACATGAATATATTTTCCTGAATTAATACCAAACGTTATAAATTAATCTCCTCGACTAGATCCTCAACAACGGGTCATTAAATAACTTTACTGGTTACATATTTGACCTAATTAGAGTTATGATGGGTCGTTTGATTCACTAATGACCGCTAATATGGCCTCAAGGATTATAGTGATGCCTTGTTCTCTCTCTCTCTCTCTCTCTCTCATCCTCGTCTGCATCTTCCTTCCTTAACTCCCCTCTTCTTCCCTTCCTCTACCACCAGCATCATCATCTTCGTCTACCCTCCATCATCTCCTCTCCTCCTCCTCCTCCTTCATCATCAAGTCTCTCCTTCTCTTCCAACCCGGTTCAATAAGTGAGGAATGCCAGACTAGAGATGCTGTGACGTTTGCTGTAAAGGTGCGCTGTGGAGGCTGCTGTGAGCTGTCTGGGATAAATGCTGTGGGAACTGCTGTCATGGTGCTGTGAAGGATGTCGTTAGGATGTTTTGAAGGATGAAGTAGGTGTTTGAGATGCTGTAAAATTGGGGTGATGCAGTTATTGGTGATGGTGTATGGTAGTAATGTAGTAGCAATGGTTAGTAATGGTGTAGTAATGGTAGTAATGTTGTAATATTGGTGGTAGTAATTGGTAGTAATGTGGTAGTAATGGTGTAGTAATAGTGGTAGTAATGTGGTAGT